ATAATAATAAAAAAATTTTGTCATACAAAAATTCGGTTTTCTTTAATTTTTTTTCTATTATCACTACACTCTTTTCTGTATTCTGAGGCAGATATTAGACCAGATCCAAAAAACCTACACAAGTAGTACCAGTCAACACCAAGTGGTGTTCATTTCATAAAATGAAGTCTTATAATACTAAAGACTGCTTTTTAAACCCGAAAAGATCTGCAATTACTAATACAGTTCCTTCTAGCAACAAACATAATGAGGAGAATAGAGCATTAATTATAAGTGAAACTAAGAGTAGGTCACTTAAAGCGATCGATATTAAAGGAATTATAAAAAATAAAACATCAGAATTCATTGTAGACTCTGGTTCAGATTTTAATTATGCTCACGAGAAGGTACTTAAAGTGATGAATCTAAATTATGAAGAAACAAATCCTATCACCCTGATATTTGGAGGAGGAAAGAAAGAAACTACTAACACCAAGATAACAGTGAATATAAGCTTCAACACTGTGAAATATACGGTAGAGTTCTATGTACTAAAGGAACTACCAGTATCATTTATTTTAGGAAATGAATTCTTAATCAATAATAATTGCGGCATTAAGTATGGAAAAAGGACATTTAGCATAGGCACGGATAACGTTATGAAACTAGAGGGATGCAACAAATCTACTGATGAGATACTCGATGAATGGTTAAGTGAAAACATTTGTCTTTCAATATTCGGGACTATCCTGATTTAAATAAAATATTGAAGTATTATATGGAGCAAAATAATCTATTTTCATCAATAAGAGCCTCACCTGCACAGTTCATAACAAAAAACTCCTTAGCTATCATACAATCAAGGGGATACGCTGTCCCATATAAATTTCTACACCAAGGTCAAGAAGAAATACAGAGATTACTAAGAGAAAACATTATAAAGCCCAGCAACTCACCTTTCACAAGTCCTGCATTTTTCTTACGGAAGAAGAATAACGACTTAAGGCTGGTTATAGACTATAAAAAAATTAACAACATGTTAGAGGATGATCCATGGATATTACCAAAAATAGATGAATGTCTTATGGAAATGAGGACAATTGATTTCTTTAGCCAGCTAGATTTCCAGAATGGTTTTAACCAGATTAAAATAGCTGAAGATTGTCAAAAACACACCGCCTTTATATTACTAGGAAAGCAATACGAGTATAAAAGAATCCCATTTGGCATCAAGCCGGGACCTAAAATATTTCAACGATACATTTCGGAAATATTAGAGTCGATGCGAAATTGCTTCGTCTCATAGACGATATTGTAATATTTAGCAAGACTAAAGATGAACGCGCTAATCTGCTCCAAGAAGTACTAGAAAAGTTATTAAAAAAAGAAGTAAGAATAAACTTCGACAAATCGAAATTTTTCATGAAGGAATTGGGCTACAAAGTAAATAGCCAAGGAATCTTTCCAAACACTAAAAGTTTGGCCAATGAAATATTTAAAAAAGAGATTAAGACCCGCAAGGGTACTCAAAAATTAATTGGAGTTATAAACTGGTACCGAAAGTTTATACCCAACCTTTCAACAAAGATAGCAGAAATTAGCAATCTACTAAAAGGGAAAGAAAATAAAGCACTTTTAACACCAAAGAAGGAAAAAGTAATCTATAAAGTAAAGGAGGAGATATTAAATGGTGCAAAGTTATGTTTTCCTAATTATAAAAAGAAATTTTTACTTGAATGTGATGCTTCGGACATAGGATTAGGAAGCATACTTCGGCAAGAAGATAAAATAATAGGATATTACTCCAAAAAAATTACTTAAAGCGGAACCAAACTACAGCATTGTAGAAAAAGAGTATCTGGCCATGTTATTATCCCTCATACATTTTAAAAAGGTCATTCAAGGTTACTACATTGAAATATTAACTGACAGTAATAATTGTACCTTTGAGAATAAAAAATCAACTTCTAGAATAAGTAGATGGAAGCTACTTATGAATGAATTTAATTACAAATAATTCATATTAAAAGAGAAACAAATGTTATCGCAGACCATTTATCAAGATGCTTTCACATGAAAGAAACAAACATCAAAGAGAAGTATAATACTGAAGTGGAACGATCAAGCTTAAAAACAGACACCGGAGAACTTGCAAGGGAAAAAAACCATAGATACTAATAGATCCTGACAAAGTAAAAAAACTACTAAGGACAATACACAAAATTTGTGAACATCGAGGAATAACAACGATGTATTATAACATTAAGAATTACATCTACATCAAAAATATCGTAGCTGAAATAAGAGAGACAATAGAAACATGCACAACCTGGGCAAGAGTTAAGATACATAATTATAAAAATAATAAAAGGAATAAAATAGCAGCAAATAAGAAATTCGAAAGAATCTCCACAGATATTTACGGTCCATTCAATATAAGAGATTTTAAAAATGATTGTGTGAAAGAGATGGGGCATATCCTGTCTATAACCGATATATACACAAGATATACGAGATTATATTTCTTCGAAAGGATAACCAGCAATGATGTGATACAATCCCTTGAGAGCTGGATTGCAGAGTTTTGTCCACCAAGTTACGTTATCTCCGACAACGGAAAACAGTACGATAATAAAAACATGAGTGAATTCTTAAAAACCGAAATGATTGAGCAGATTCTTGTTCCTGAATACACGCCTAGCAGTAATGGCATTTCAGAAAGATTAAACAAAACGATATCTTTTACATTAACTATTAATAAGGGAAAACCTATCAGAGAAGTCGTCTCCAGAACAGAGGAAGTAATCAATATGAACTACAATAGGTCTATTGGAACATCTCCCGCAGCATTATGTACAGGAAACGATTTTTATGATATATTAAGCACATATAAGAAAAGAACGAGTAAACAAAAACAAGAAACATTTTTAATCAACCACAAGGTAGGAGATTGGGTATACAAAAGAGTATTTAATGCTAACAAATTGGAACTACAATATGAGCCTTTCAGCAGGCAGATACTTGAGATAGGGCAGAAAGGTTTTGGTTTAAACTATCAGACGACTATGGATGGACGCATGTCAAGAACGTAAAGGTTATAAGAGAGGGCTGTATGTGGTACTAATTTCACATGAAATGTTTTCTATTTTCTGAATTTTCTTGAAGAAATTTTAGTATAAAAATATTTCATGAAAAGAAGGGCATCGCTGTCATGAATAACTTACATAATCATCAACAGCAAGAGAATCATAAGATCAACGGGGGATCTCACAAGAGCACAATTCCCCATGAAGTTAATAACCCATTTAAGTTACACCAATTTAGTTTGGCTTCAGGAGCGAGCATTGTGGAGAACTTTCTTAGTTCTAATCGCCTTCCTGCATTTCTCGCCACAGGATTCTTCCAAGTCCCTATTCGAGAATTGGACAAAGAGAAAACGGCCTTCTACACGGGCAGTAGATTAATACGGTTCACAAAAATGCCACAGGGGTTCAAGAATAGCTTTGCTATATTTCAAAGGGCAATGCAACTTATTCTAAAAGACTTACTGGGAGCATGCTGTGTGGTATATATCGATGATATATTGATTTGCGGTGAAAGTATAGAGGAACACAATTTTAATTTGACAAAGGTAATTGCACGAATTAAAAAGTATAGGCTCGAAGAAAATATAGAGAAAAGAATAGAACGAACAGAAAGTATTAAATTTTTAGGATATGAGATCTCATACAATACTGTCAAACCTAGCTTAGAAAGGGCACATGGCATAATTGAATGTAAAAGTCCAGAAAGTAGGAAAGATATACAAAGGTTTATTGGTATGATAAATTATGACAGGCAGTTTGTTCAAGGACTTTCAAACTACCTGAAATCGCTGTACAGATTACAGTCGAAGGATGTTAAGTTTATGTGGACAGAAATTGAAGAAAATATTTTGTGGAGATTAAAGCTAAATAGAAACAAAGATTAGAATTATTTATCCCAGACATGGATGGGAATTTCACGCTGGAAACCGACGCATCGGATACGGGGTTGAGGATATGTCTTAGGCAAGAAGGCAAGCCAGTGGCCTATTTGTCGCATACACTGTCTAGTGCAGAGAAAAACTACGGAATAACCGAAAGGGAGGTTTCGGTCACATTATAAGCCATGGAGAATCTTCAGTATTATCTAATAGGAAAGAAGTTTAAGCTAATTACTGACCACAAGGCTATAGAATTTATATCTACCAAACTTCAATTTGGCTCAGTGCGTGTGCAAAGATGGTTCTATCGTTTTGCAGGATTTAATTTTGAAGTCGAGTATATCAAGGGTGAAGAACTGGTGGTTGCAGATGCATTAAGCAGAAGTCACGATGGAAGTGTCTACCTGGTGCAATCAAATGAAAAAGAAAATGAGGAACAAAAAAATGCGACAATAAACCTTCATGTTAAACTAAACCACCGGAAGAAGATCAAAAAGGATCTAATGAGGAAAGGAATTAATGATATTATTTCAAGTTGCTAGACATATCTGCGGAAAGACAAAAAGCTGGTGAGGACAGGTAGCTTTATCTTTACATTTTCGCCGGGGGAGAGAATTGCATTTGATTTATTAGAAATAAATAAAAACAATCTAACTATCTTGGGGGTGGATTATTTCACGAGGAAGATGTTTGGAAGGCATCTGCAATCTAAAGAATCGAGAAAGATACTTCAATTTATCAAAGAGATTCATCTAGAATTGCCGATTAAAACCCTCATTACGGACAACGGCCGCGAATTCAATAACAAATCACTGGACAAATTTTGTACAGATAACAGAATAGAAAGACAGTTTTCAGTACCTTATTACCATCAGAGCAATGGACGAATTGAGGGGGCAAATAAAACAATTAGAGGTGGAATAAAACACGCAAAAAAACCAATTAAAAGCATTCTAGCAAAAATCATTTCTGGTTACAATGGAACATGCCACTGGGGTATAGGAATGACACCAAATGAAGCAATGAAAACATCTAACAGAGTGGAGATACCCAAACATCAAGATAAGTATGCAGAAGAATTCAAAAGAAAAAAAAAGAACCTTGTAAAATGTATAAAACAGGAGATAACGTTCTTTTAAAAAAGGAAGTACGGAACTCAAAAATGGATAACGAATTTGAAAAAGTAGAAACAATTAGTAGTAGACTGGGAACAAACGCATACGAGGTTAATTTAGGAGATCAGAAAGTCAATCAACATGTAAGTCAGATCAAGCGGCTTGGGAAGATGTTGGATGCTAAACATCCAGTAGATTCATATACAAACGAAATCTCAATGTCTTAAGCGTGTTTTTTTGTTTACATGTAAAACTATAAAAAGAAATCCTAAATATATAAGGATGTCGTTGAAAATACTTCTTCTAAATCTTCCAGACCCAAACGGGTTAGCAGTGTATCTTTTCCCGAGATTAAGAATAAAGGGAAAAAAATTTAGACCCATTTAGCCTTAATTATTTGCGCTCTAACGGACGGTACACAACGAAGAAGATAAAAAAATCAAAATAATTATTTGATTAAAATTAACTAATTCCGTACGATACAATCTGCTTAAATGTACATTTTTTTATTTAAGACAAATATGAATGATTTATTTATAGTAACAAGAGATTATAAAAATCATTATTCTTATAGTTGTTAGAATTTTAGAACTAAAGACCATTAAAGCCAATTTCTTTAACTTAACATTCTTGTTATTCTAAAATATATAAAGTATAAATATTTAGATTAAAAGTATTTATTTAAATATTTTGTCAATGAAAAAAAACAATAATATTAACACAAAAAAACATAATTTTGTATGTTACTGCTCGTATATTATATACAAATATTTGATTAAACCCACATCTAAGATCAAAGTTTATAAAAATAGTCATGACTGAAAAATTTTTATCTTGTTATTTTACATAACTTAAATGCTTTTTACTCTAAAATTTAACATTTGAAAAGTACTATTTAAATATTGAAGCTACGTAGAATAAATTATTAATAAAAAATATATGTCCAATTATTAAAATGCAAAAAGATTTTTTATCATTTACTAATGAATTATGTTGTAGCCAGCAATATGATAAGAAATTGTATTGACTATTTTTTAATCAAAAGCGTAAAATCATCTATATATATAAAAAGTTTGAATCTGACCATTTTTTTATTTTTTTACCCTTCTTTTTTAAAAATTATAAGAAATGTTTTTTTAAAGAAATAACAATTTTTGGACCTGGTCTAATATTTGCCCTTCTAGGGCAGATATTAGACCAGGTCCCTTTATTTTGTTGATCCTAATTCTGGAGTTCACACTCAAAACATTGAGTCTTTTTGGAACAAAATGAAACGAGTTACAAAGTCTATGAATGGTATAAGTAAAATTCGGCTGCCTGGATTACTCTTAGAATTAATGTTTAAAGACGAATTCAAATCAAATATATTGTCAAGTTTTATGTTTCTTATTGCTGTATAATAATAAAAAAATTTTGTCATACAAAAATTCGGTTTTCTTTAATTTTTTTTCTATTATCACTACACTCTTTTCTGTATTCTGGGGCAGATATTAGACCAGGTGTTTTTTAGGGCAGATATTAGACCAGATCCCAAAAATCCAAACAGGTTTTTTTAAATCCCGTGGAGGTGTTAAAAGGACCCAATCAAAAAATTTCTATGATCCTAATGTTGTCAAAAAAAATAGCATCACTAAAATTAATATTTAAAATTTTTCTTTTAAGCTTTTACATAATAGGAGTTAAAAAATATTTCTTTTTTACCTTTACTTTATCTTTTCTCCCCTTTCGAATAACTACGTCCACTTTAAAAGATTTTGTACGTAATTATTCGAAGGGGGGGAGAATGACGTAGCACACAAATTTCTAATCAATAAACATGTCAAGTAAAAACAGCGACAATAGACACAATTTTACAATTTTTGTACAATTATGTTGGTTTTGTAACAACAACTTGAATTTAAATTTTATTGTTGTTTTGAATTAATAAATATGATTATGGAAGCCCCTTACAACACAAAGATTCGTAAAATATAAATTTTATGTAAATAATAAGATGTTTAAAATACCTTTAGTATAAAACACTATCACTAAGTATCATTAAAATAAAAAGAATATAATTGGCAGAAACTGGTTGTTTTTTGTTCTTATATTAATCATAAATGAAATTCTTTATTCTTAAAATTTTGTTAGAGACTTAAAAATTTTTTGAATACCTACCAGAATCGTTTTTTATTAAAAGAATCATAATTATTGTTGAGATTAAACATGGGTTTATTTTATTATAATTATTTAAATATTGACACGCCAACCACATCATATGTTAAACATTCATTAATGCATCCTACAATTATATTAAAATATAGTTCGCAGAAGCCCGCAGAAATTTTGACGAATATAGATGTTTGTACGTATTTCAAATACAATAATTTTAATAGAATAGATGGGTTTTTATCTACTTCGATGTGCCTCCTCACAACTTTAATCAATGTAAATGGAAGAGGAAAAAATCGTTTTTGTGGTATCCCCTATGTCCCATATTGATATCACACTTCGGTTATTTATTAAAATTTAAATAGTGTTTTAAAAATAAATATTTAAGAAATTAAATTTTGATGATGATAAAGGAATTAAAGAAGCAAATGACTGACAACTTCAACAAGAAACACAACGGCTAAAAGACTAGACTAACTGGGTGTGTGAGCAATATAAAAAATATACAAGTTGCTTACAATATATTAAAAAACCATTTCTAACACGATTGTGTGTTAATTTAGAAATAACATTTTTTAATATCTAAAGGGGAATGGTTTAATATTTTAGTCATTAGCATTAAATTTTTGAAGAAAAAGCGACTTGTTTTTGCATAAGAAGGCTCCTGCGAGAATCGAACCCGCGCCAACTCATTACGAATGAGCTATTCTGCCACTAAACTAAAGAGCCATGATTATACTTTGTAGTAATAAACTAAATCTCTTTTGTATTGTTTAAATTGATCTAACTACGTTACAACCAGAAAGTTGTAACTGCTTTTGTTGCTCATGCAGTAACTTAAAGCAAAAATAAAATTTAGTCTGAAATATTCATAGGAGATTTTCCAATTTAACCCGCTTTAAAAAAACTATTTTTTAACCTTTTAAATTGACAAAAATTGGAAGAAAATATAAGTCAATCACATTATTATACGCCTTCTAAAAATATTTAAATTATTTTAATACTAGAATAAAATGGATATAAACAATAAAGAAAAACATTTTAATAAACAGTAAGTAATCCCACCAAACATGCTAGAAGATTTAAACGATTATTGTCTTTCCGCACAATGATAGCAAGATATAGATATAATTTTTTTCTCATGACTCTTTTCATAATTTTTATTTAAAGTTTCTGTTTCGACCAATATGATTCAATATTCTGCGTGTGTGTGCCGCCTTAAGGATTTCAAAATTAAGTATATGATTAATAGTAAAGTTTTCAAAGCCTATTCGTTCATAAATATTCCAATACGCCGCCCACTAATCACTATTATAATTGTACCCGGGCGGAAAACATTGGCCATTGTAGGAATTAAAGTCTCTGCCGACTTGTTCAGTACTATTTGTATAAACCCTCTTGCTTGTTTCACACCGGTATCAACAATACCAAATACCCAAACTAGTGCATTTGGAACACGGCCTCTGTGATATTTTTGTTTATGACAAAATAAAGATTCATCAATTTGACAAACAATTCCTTGGCCTCCTGGTTTTGGAGGATCTTGCTCAATATTATGAGAAATTCTTTCTCTTAAATCATAAAAAATTTTGCAAACGGTATTTTGATGCATACCGCAATTTCGAGAGATTTTTGAAGCGTTTTCGACTTCTAACCACAAAATTATCACAGTCCATACATCTGCCAAGCTTAATTGATATCTGACGAAAAATGAATTATACCCGAAACCAGGTGCTTTTTATACTTGCTGCAGTATTAATTATTGCAGCACCAAACCTACTTGTCTATAACATACGTAGGCCTTGTACTTCTCTACCAGCAGATGTAGCAACAAACTTCTTTTGTCAAAAGATTGTTATGGCGTAAAATCCGGATAACAGCGCCAGTATCCACGGTTCTAAACTTTAAAAGAATATCAATTCTTGCAGTTCTGTTAGTCATTTTAAAGGGTAAAAAAAATATTTTTTTTAAATAATTTTATTCACATTATACGCCTGCGAGGGGGCGTATAATGTGATTGATCCCAAAAACCGATCCTGCTCTAATACTGATAGTAATCCGGGCCTTTAAACATTTGGTATTATAACAGATTCATGCTTTACCATTAATCACGCCGCTCTATTTATTTCTGATATTGGCCTAGTACAGAACATCCAATTCATAGTTACTGCAATAAGTCTTCTCGTTCTAAATATCTTTACAATTGCTCCAACGTACATGTACCTGATACTAAAGATCTGTTCCATTCTTGAAGTTTGATTTGTCATTTTAGGGGGACAAAATTAGTAAAAAAATATATGTGGGTATTATACGCCACAATGTTGCGTATAATACTCATGATCCATATATTGTTTATTAGATGGTTTATAATCCTTTTTCTGTGATATTTTTTTTATTTTTGTCCCCCCAATCAGGGGGTGCAACCAAACTACCTACTTAACCTAGCTTATAATAACAATGCATTTTCAGTTAAAGCACTTATGCCTTTATGATATATTTTTAATCCATTAATTAAAAATTCTGTTCTAGCCCATCAAATGTATCATTGGATTTTATTTAATTTTAGCATTATTATTCTTTTAGAAAATGGCCCTTAAAATGAAAAATCATGTATCACAAATTAATCGGCTTTTAAGAATTGGGGCTTTAGATGTTAATACTATCATTAGTATTATACGAGCCAAAAGCCTTTTTGGATTATAGTTTAAGGTATTTTGTTGTTCTGAAGAAATGACATAAAGGAGAAAAAGACGCTTCTGATGAAATTCTTGGGTGTTCAAAAACATAACATGCTCAAAACATAAAACAATTCCAAGTATACGGTGTAATTCTTTCTTTTGTCACTTTAATTTGAGCTTAACAGACGTTTTGACAGTAATTATTATTTGGCTTGAAGATGAGAGTATTACAAAAATTACTCGAAATTATGGGATACACAGAAACATCGTCAGCAAATTTTTTTTAAAGCTGCAAGAATTGTTTGTTACACATTTTCGAGATGAACAGATACGCTTGGGTGGTCAAAGAATAATTTTCTAGATTGATGAATCTCTGTTTTTTCATAGGCAAAAATATCGCATTGGGCGTGTTCCAAAAACGCAAATTTGGGTCTTTGGCATTGTTGATACGAGCTTTAAACCCGCTTTAAGCTACATGCAAATTGTAGAGAATAGATCTACCACGACTTTTTTGTCAATTATTGATAGAATTTGCTTGCCGGAAACCATTATACACAGCGATGAATGGGAAGTATACATGAACATTGACAACATTTTAGGCTATAAACATTTAATACTAAATCATTCACTAAATTTTGTAAATCCAACAAATGGTCCGCATACGCAACATGGTGAATCATATTGGGCTAGACAGAAATTTAAAATCAAAAAGTGAAACTCTGTAGACGTGGACGGTTATCCGTATTGTTATCTGAATTTGTATGAAAAGATTTTTATCGTAGTACTAAGTTGGCTAGATTAATAGGTTTGTTGAGTTTATATTTAAAAGTTATCTTTTTCTAAATTATTTAATCCTTTGTTGTTTCTAGAACATGAAAATTTTCAACAAAAATTTATAAATATAAATTTATGTAAATACTCTTTATAATCTTTTAAATTTATTTGTGCATATTCTTTAGTTAAAATAATTTTTTTCCTTTAGATGTCTTCATCGTTTTAATGTTTAGGGGCAGAAAATGTGCATGATCCCATTCTTTTGTTCTTTAAGTAAATTTTGCTGTATGAAATATTTAAGTAAATCTTTTGCTGTTATAAAAATAATGCTAGGTGTTTTTTTGGAACATCTTCATGGTGTCTTATTTGTGGTTAAAAATTTAAATAATGTCTTCGGGGGCGTATTTCCGGCCATTTATATGACCGAAAATACGTCTTTGCGCCCAAATGCCCGTAAGTATCTTACCAAAATCGTCATTTTAATTTGTTCAAATCCCCATTTCAATAAGATCGACAATTAATTATTCAAAGGGCTTTACTGCTAGAATGTTTCTAAACTTTTTCTTTGTCTTAGAGGATTGAGTTTTTAAGCAAACATTACATTCATTACAAACCCACCAGTCAACACATATAGGAATTGAAAAGTAAAACTTTTTGCAAACTTAATAAAGACGATTCTGACAAAAAGGCTTTGTTTCTGCAATTTTCGTACATCTGTTTCCATAGAAATCACCGATCCTTTCATAAACACATGCTTATTCCCGTTTCCTGTACCTTTAAGGTAAAATTAATTATCCATTAAGGTCAACAGTTTGGGCTTTTTTTTCTAACGAACTTGTTATGTTTGCTACCACATACTGAAGAATGTAAGAATATTTACGATGTATAATATTCTTCCTCCTAGCTTACAAAAAACCTCGTAAAAGAATAATAGATAATTGAATGCAACTTTTTAGAATTTATTTTTTTTATGTTAACTCCTATGCCAAAGCAAAAAAAACTAAAGAAGAAAGAATTTAAAAATTTATTCGTATGTATGGTGCGAATGACTTTTGCATACATCCAAAAAATATGTTGTTTTGCAATTTATGCAGTATTATTGTAAAAACTAATCAAAAATTTTTGATCGACAAACACAGAACACCAAAAAAGCATATTGAGAAGCTTATACAAATAAAATCCGATCAAATTAACGGTACACAGTCATTTTTGACTGTAAAAAACAATTTATGGAAAAAGTTGCCAAGGCATTGGTGTCGGCCGACATACCGCTGTACTAGCTCAACAACAAACGTGTAAAAGAAACGGTGGGATTTTTAGGACAAAATTTAGTGGCCGAAAGTACAACAGGGGCATATTTGTTGAATACATCGATTTAGAAGCGCATTTTATTGCACTGAAAAAGTATTTTTTTAACAAGAAATTCTTTATTTATGCAGACGAAAGCGAAATAAACTTTGCCAAATATTTTAATCTTATAGCAGGAACTTTAAACCCCTTGAGATTTAATTATGTTTTTTGCGTTTCCAAAAGCCGTTTGTTTGGATTCTCTTCTTGTGGAGTAAACATTACTTTAAGTATTTCGAAAAATTGACATGAGTTTGGATGACTTGTCCATTGTACTTATTGATACAGCGCGTTATATAACAAAAGCATTTAAGAACTTAAAGCTAAAAAGTCTGGTTTTTTTCGCGTAATTTGTTCAGCTCATTTGGTGCATAATTGTGCAATGAAAATTTTGATAGATGTATTGGCTACAGTAAAAGCTTTTAAGATAAAAAAACAAAACCAGATCCGAATTATTTTATAGTATTAAAAAACCATCTGAGGTTATTTTCACATGATAGTTCGGCTGGCTAAAAGCTTCAAAATATTATGCCGGAAAATTCCAAGTCGTGAAAAGTATTGTCTTGACTTATCGGATGATGGTATTTTAGTAGAAAAAGCAAAAATTGCTGGAATTCTGATTTTTTGTTTTTTGAATTAATGGAAATAGCAGAAAATTATTTTATTTTAATAGATACTTTAGAACGGTTTGAAAATGATAAGTGTGAGATCGCAAGAGAATATAAATTATTGAATAGTTTAACTTTTGCCAAAGTTCCAGTAAATATCAAGCTTTATTAAGGGGAAAGACTCTGAGAAAACGAAATAGTTAATTACTATTTTTTTCGAATGCTAGTTTATCTCCTGCAATTTATGTTTTGTTAAAAAAATGTTTCTGTACTTTTTACTAATTTAAAGAAGTTTTTCTATGCTTAAAAAATGCGGACCGGGCTCTTTCAATCCCCCGGCGAAGGAATGAGAAGACTCGATCCGCATTTTTTTAATTTTCTAACCCTTCAAATCTATAAGAGAAACAGAATTGCTTTTTACTAATTGTCGCGAGCCTATCTCGTGACCAGACCAAGCCCAGCTTGTTCTTTTTCCTTATTTATTTTTTCTTTTATATTTTTTTAATTGGTTTACTTTAAATAACTAAACCAGAAAGATTGTGTACAGCGATACGTACTATACTTTGTAACCTAAAGTATATTGGATTATTTTCTAGACATCTGTGACATACATATTATATACACACCTACTACAACTATCCACAATATTTCATTTCAGCAACTGTTGCAGGCGCGGATCGAACTCTGCGCTCCAATTTTTACACTGATCAACATAATGCCAATTAGACAACACGCCCAGCGCAAACAATCTTGAAATTTTATATCACAAAAAAAAATAAAAAATGAATATTTTGTTTTAAGAAATATGCCTAAAATAATTATTTTCATTTAAATAAAAAAAGAGTACTGAAACACTGTAGATTTTTTTCGGGGGAAAGAGCTGTCAGTAGTGGGTAGTGGGCAGGCAAAAAATCGATTCAAGCAACGATGTAAAAATTTTGTTCTGGTAGTTGATTTACTTTATCCGAAAAGTGATGACGGGAATCATATGTGAGTTTTTTTGAGAAAATGACTACCGCAACGAAGCTCGAACTGCAAACATTACATAGGCAAAACTAATGACGATTGTTAGAGGGGTTTGTGTAAAGTGCAATATTTATGCTTAAGCACAGCCTCTCAAACAAGAGAGTAATTCGAGCACATTTGAACAAGCCGGCCCTTTGAAAGGTTGTGATAATAGATTTTGTTGATATGATAAATTATGCTTGTCAGGATGATGGTTATGCTTGGATTTTAACTGGTATAGATGTATATTAAAAATACGCATCGACCTGTCAGATGAAGCAGAAAACGGCAGCTAAAATCGGAACGTGTTTACAAAACATCTTTTGTATTGTTGACCACTCTTCAATTCTACAGTGTGACAATTGTGGGGAGTTTACAGATTCGGTTCTAACTAAATTTTGTACTCTTTATAAAATACACTAAATTCATGGTAAGCCTTGGCATCCTTAAAGTCAATGTCGAGCTGAGAGGTTTAATCAAATTCTAGCAAGATATTTGCAAAAGCATTTGATTGAAAGAAATCTACTTAATAAAAAAAAATGGTTATCTATTTTAAAAAAGGTGACCCATAAATATAATGTGTTGTCAACATCGCAACCAATAAGTCGCCTTTTTGTTTGTTTTTTAATAGATCGATGTTTAATACAATGATACATAGTAACCAAGATGATTGTACAGCAAATAATAATGAAATAAATTGTATTGTGTAGACGAAGAAAAAAAATAATATTATTAATGAAAAATATGTGGCAAGAATGAACAATAAGTGTGTCCCTAATAGCATAAATGACTTTAATATGAACGATACCGTTTTAATTAACACGATTTTGACAATAATGTTAAAATAAAAAGACTTGAGCTTAATTCATTTTATTCTAATCCTGGTTTAAAATATAATTTTTTTTAATAATCGATTAAAGGTAAAAGCAGATGATAATTTTGTTATTTTAAATATGAATTTAGTTAAAAAAGTAGTCATGAAAATAAATTAAATAATATTGCTAATTATATATTACTTAAAATATTTTACTAAAAAACCTCTCTATTAGAAAATTTTTATAACATTAACATATTGTTAATTATTCGGATTTATTTTTTAAATAGGATGTATAGTTTTATTATTTTTTTAGCATAACATAAATTAGATATCTATTAAACCCTATGATTTTTCATGTTATAATTTATATCATAAAATGCAATGTCATATAAACAAAAAAAATTAGTTATTTTTGTTAAATTCTTCTTTCTATTATAAATTAAAAACGGATCTGGTCTGCGGGGGCCTTCTTGTTTGTAAAAAAGAAATGGATCTTTCAAGGCTTTTTGCAAATAATTATATTTCATTCAAATTTCTAGAACAGCGTGTTCAGCTTTGCTAGAACCATTTCCAGCCGAATCTCCAAGCGTCATAAGCTAAAGCTCGCGACATTTATTAAATTAAACATTTTGAATCGGGGTCATTACGCTATTTTGTTTTCGAAAAAAGAACTTTAAAATTTACAAAAGAAAGTACTTAAAATATTTATTAAAAGCTCTAAATTTGTCTCCCTCTATTAATTCACAAAACATAAATTCACTTAATTATACTTTTTTATGGTCTAAGGACAATTTTTCAAAATTTTATCTCAAGTTTGATCTTATTATTGTACGGCTCGACATTTAAAGTGTAAACTCGATTTTGAGGATCAATAAAACAATACTTATGGCATACAGTATAATGAGTGTAAAGCTAGGAGACGGCCAATGAACTAAAAGATTTCCATTTATCAGAATAAATAATACTTCCAGGAACTATAAGTTTGCCAATAATTGACACAAGAGTTGTAGCCGAATAATTATTTACTGTAGTTACATAGCCCAAGGCCGGATCAACGATGTGTCTACGGCGACAAATGCCCAACAATGTTGTATCTTCCGACCACGATGTTTTTTAACGTTATAATTTGGTTTTGTTCCCCGATTTGGACGATTATTTCCGGCCCGCCCAATTATATAATATTATCTACAAAATTGTTACTGATTTTTATAGCCATTATTTTTTTTGGAATTGTTAGAAAACAGCATTTTATACCAGCTAGATTTTGTATAGCATTAAATTTTATACCTTTAGAAATATAATAAAACGCTTTTAGAATAGCTTTTTTTTCAATTCTTAACTTTAAAAAATGACGAGTCTTTTTTAATTTGGATGATATTGGGTAGTTGGCGCACTTACAATTAATACTCCCCCAATCGTATTCATCGATACGTTACAAGTCGGTCTTAAAATTCGTATTTAGATGCCAATATATACACCTTTGCTGATTGTGAACTACTTTATATCATAAAAGCAGAAGAATAACTTGATGTTTACTCATCTGAGCAATATCATGGATCAGTGGCATAAAATGTTACAAAAATGAAAATTAATTAACGTATACTATTTTTGTGTTTGAGAGAAATATAATACTAAAAAATTGTCTGCTTGCAATGTCATAATAGCTTTGAAACTTTTTATTTATAACATGCTTTTCCCTCAACATTTTTATTTTCCCACCAAAAACTTTTATTTAATATTTTTTCTGACCCCTATCATGTCTCTAGATAATCTTGAAAATGCACTTGTAAGACTTAGCAACAATGATTCGATTAATACATTAATGGATGCCAGGTTATTAAAAAAGGAGAGGAACTGTATAGAATGCCATTAAATAATGGTTTTTATTAATTGTAAACAATACAAAGATTTAAAATGTTTTAGATGTCCAAACAATATGTGCGCCAAGGGCAGTCCGCGTATAAATATAAGAAAATGTAGCTTTTTTGAGTCGATTAATCTTCCTCTTCTGACAATTTTAAAAGTTTTAATAAGGTGGTCTGAAAACATTCCATGAAGAATTGTTGTATCAATGCTAAATATTGATCATAGAAGTTATAAAAATATAATACCCAAGTTTTTAAGTCTTGTTAAATTTGATTTTACGGATGATAAATTAGGTGGACCTAGCAAAATTATCCAGATGGATGAAACGGCACTTAATCACAGTATTAAGGCACATAGGGGGAAATTTTCTGCAAATAAAACCGATGCCTTGTGCATCGTTGAATTTCAGGAAAACATTAACAGAACTTATGCTTGTGTTATATAGAATAAAAAAGCTTCAACTATTTTACTAATAATCTGTGCTAATGTTGCATCTAATAGTATAATACATACTGATGAGCATAAAAGCTATTCTGCGCTTAACAACATGGGATTCGTTCATGACACGGTTTGTTATAAGTATACTTTTATAAACCCAGAAACGGGTGACAATACGCAGGATATAAGGCTTTTAACAATTCACCGAAGTTAGACATAAAAAAAGAAAAGGAGTAAAAAAGGGCTTAGACAAGAATTTTTGAAGGAGTTTAGCTGGAATTTTAATAATACAGTAGACGGGTTTGAAATGATAATATCAATTATTGAATTAAAATCTTAATATTTTTTTTTGAAAAATTGGGTTTTACTCCGTTTAAAAAACATTTTTATGCCCACCGGGCATAAAAATGCCACCAATCCATATCATCTCTAACGCTTGTTAACATTAAGAGTTGAAAATAAAAAAAAGAAAAGAAATAACAGGGTCATTACACTTCCTTGCAGATAATTTAATGAGCTTGATCCAATCTTTTCTTATTTTTTTATAATATATCAGATTGGTTTTTATTTTGAAATTTCACGCTTTTGATTAAAAAATAGTCAATACAATTTCTTGTCATAGTGCCGGCTATAACATAATTCATTAGTAAATAATAAAAAATCTTTTTTCATTTAATAATTGGACATATATTTTTTATTAATAATTTATTCTACGTAGCTTCAATATTTAAATAGGACTTTTTTCAAATGTTAAATTTTAGAGTAAAAAGCATTTAAGTTATGTAAAATAACAAGATAAAAATTTTAGAGTCATGACTATTTTTACAAACTTTGATACTAGATGTGGGTTTAATCGAATATTTGTACATAATATACGAGCAGTAACATACAAAATTATATTTTTTTGTGTTAATATTATTGTTTTTTTTTCATTGACATAATATTTTATTAAATACTTTTAATCTAAATATTTATACTTTATATATTTTAGAATAACAAGAATGTTAAGTTAAAGAAATCGGCTTTAATGGTCTTTAGTTCTAAAATTCTAACAACTATAAGAATAATGATTTTTATAATCTCTTTTTACTATAAATAAATCATTCATATTTGTCTTAAATAAAAAAATGTACATTTAAATAGATTGTAGCTTACGTTTCAGTTGATTTTAATTAAATAATTATTTTGATTTTTTATTTAACCTTCTTCATTGTGTACCGTCCTTTAGAACGCAAACAATTAAGACTAAATAGATCTAAAATTCTTTCCCTTTATTCTTAAAACACAATAAAGTTGGTTTTAAAATCATTTTTTTAATCTAATAAAGTTTTATAAAAAGGAAAAGGTAGTTAAGAAAAATTGATTCAATAAAATATAATTTTTACTTAAAAGTAATTTTCTTCAAACCTAAGTTTGTACAAAGTTATTTTCAAAATGAACACCGTTCCGTTCCAAGTTTCTATACTATCAGATTTCTTTATTACTGTTTTATTATCTATTTCACATTTTTGTTATTATTTTTTTACTGTAATATTTTTACTCAAAATTTTTTCTTCATCATTATGAATTTTAAAAAAATCTTATTTATATTTTTGTAAAAACTATCTTTTGATCATAATAAA